ACATAGTGTTTGCGTCCCCACTACTTCTCCAAGCTCCCATTGCCGACAACCTTTCAAGGCGTCCCACCTAATACTCGGGCGGCCTTGTACTGACCTCTGTTTCCTTCTTATCCTAATACTAACGTCCATCACCAAGAGCCTATGTTGCGTTGCAAGGGTCTCACCTGGGATAACTTTGCAATCCTCGCACAACCTTCTGTCGCATCTCCTGAGGAGGAGATAGTTAATTTGAGTCTTCGCCACCGAACTTTGGTAAGTAACCAAATGCTCCTCTCGCTTCGGAAAACTCGAGTTTGCAATCAATAGATCGAATGCCTTGGCAAAATCCAGCAGTGAGATGCCTCATCCATTCCGTTCCCCGAAACCAAAGCCGCCATGCACCTCCATATAACCACCTGCAGACGACCCAATATGGCCATTGAAATCCCCTCCTATGAATAACCTCTCGGAAGGCGGAATACTACGAACAATGTCATCCAACCCTTCCCAAAAACGCCTTTTAATCTCCTCATCACAACCTACTTGCGGTGCGTACGCGCTAACGACGTTTAAAGTACACTCACCCACCACCAATTTAATAGTCATTAGTCTATCATTCACACGCCTGACCTCTACCACCGACTCCCTAAGATGGCTATCTACTAGGATACCCACTCCATTCTTACCCCCCACGACTCCAGAGTACCACAACTTATACCCATCCGCATTTCTCGCCCTCGATCCGACCCGNCTCTCCTTTGCTAGTGCTCGTGCGCCCAACTTGTCTCCAACCACTTTGAGAATTTCCCTGAAAACACAGAAAATACCACGACCCAAAGACCAAAAAGGGCTATCACCGCTACCACTGGTGTAGCACCGAAAGTAACTAGCAGCCGAAATTAACTGAAGAAAAACAACAAGCAAGCTTCTGAAATATGCGAGGAGATCCGGCAACATAACAGCAACAAACCGGTGACCAAATGGAATCTAAAGCATAACTACTACCATTAAATTGCAGTTGTAAGCTAGTAAAGGAAAACTGAAAATCAGTAAGTAAAACCAAAGAAATCAGAGCAAACCAAACAAATCTTTTGCTACGTACAGAAAAGCCAGCAATTTCGGTTTTGGAAATTTCGAGCTTTATTGACATTTACTTCAACAGATTCAGTGAAATAAAAGTAAAAAATCTATAGCTAAGAATAATGAGAGTATCGATTTGAAATTGGATTGTTCTTTGATAAAAGGGGTTCTGAGCAAAAGTGGCGATGATAGAATTGGAGCGGTAGAGCAAAAAAGGGGGAATTTTATTTTTGAAGAAGTAAAATTAATAACTATAAATAAAATTTAATATACCGAAAGCGAAAAATCAGGGCAAAAAGGACAAGATCTAAAGCAAACAGAGAAGAGAAAAACTTTAAACAGCGGAGCGGAAAATTATTGCAAAACAAAAAATAGATATTCAATACATTCAAGTTCGTAGTATTGAATTGAATATCTTTTGTTAGCATTAGTATTGATTTGATTTTGGTTTGGGTTTTTGCTAGCACTACTTAATGAGAAAATCTCACTTTATACCTATTAATTCCAAATCGTTTACCCTTTAATGCCTAGACTCAAACTATTTACTACTCCTACCCATACTTCCCAAACTATTTACCCACTAGTTTCACTTCCTATATATATCTCCAAAACCCCCAAATGGACGAGGTGGTGGAGGAAGTAGAAAAAGTGAAAAAAGATTTTGAAGAAACATACAAACAGACACAACAACACATCAATTCCATTCAGGAATATGACAAATCGACAAGATTAATTTCAGAAGAGAAAAGCTCACTCCTAAGATTGAATATCCACCATTGTTGGGCTTGAAGCTCAATTTTATTTTTGACGATTTCTTGTTTGATTCAAAGTGGGTGCTGTTAAAAATTGCTTATAGTACCTTCTAGAAGTTCATACTAAAATTTGATAGCATTTGGACCTGATTTGAGGTGATTGAGATCGAAATTTTCAGTTGAAAATCGAAGAAGAACACAGCTACAGTATACCGCTACGGTATACAATATGCTGTAGGAGTATATAGTTATACTGCAACAGTACACTATTATAATTTACAAAATAGTATACCGCCACAGTATACTAATATACTATAGGAGTATATAGTTATATTGCAACAATATACTATTATAGCATACAATATATTATTATAGTATACTGTAATAATATGCAAGATACTGTAACAATATGTTACCCGTAAATTCACTTATCTTTTTCCTTTTAATTTGTTTTAAGCTTTTACCCAACGTGAGGGGCAAATTAAAAATGCAAAAAATAAAATAAAAATTATAGTATGCAATATGATGTAACGGTATACTCTTACAATTAAATCCTTTTAGAATTTTTTATTTTTTTTATTGACAACTGATACTATTTTAGTTCAATAATTGAAGTAATTTTTTTAACTCATTGCGTACAATTGTATACCATGTTGGTATAGCTATATGCTATACTAGTATCATATGTTAGTTAATATTTTTTTGGTTTTATTAACTACATTTAATTGGTACACAATTTGATTTTTCTTTAGTAATAATATATAAAAAAAGAATAATAAAAAATAGTGAAAATAGTAAATGAAATTAGATTATGAAGAGAAAAAGAATATAAAAAAAGAAGTTAAATGAAATTAGAAAAGGAAAAAAGAAAAAAATAAGAAGAAAACTTGGAAAAAAAAAGGAGAAAAGAAAAAAAAGAAAAAAGAAAAGAAAATAAACATAGAAATAAAAAAGAATTGGAGAATAAAGAAAAAATTCCCCACAAAACCTACTATGGGTAGGAAATGTAATTAATTTATGGGTAGGAAAACAAATGGGTAAACAAGGGTAAATAGTTTTGTTTTTGTGGGTAACTGTGTCAAAACCCCCTACTTAATCTAGGGAGAAATTAAAAAATAGCCAGATTTTATAACTGGTTGTTAAAAAATAGCCCAGTTTCAAAAGTAATCGAAATTTAGCCACTTTTCATGTAAAGATAAATCTGTGCGAAAACACTGTTCAAAACCCGAAAAATACGTCACTATATTATACTGGAGTTTCAGTATAAGTATGCTTGAACTCGAGCATATTATACTGGAGTTCCATGATAAGTATGCTGGAACTCCAGCATATCCAGCATAAGTAAACTAGAACTCCAGCATAATATACTGGAGTTCCAGCAAGTATAATTGTCCAGTATAATATACTGGAGTTTGGAGCACCGGTGCTCCCAGCAAAGTATATCGGTCCAGCATAATATGCTGGAGTTCATACACAGGTGCACCGAACTCCAGTATATTATGTTGGACTGGTCTCTATTGCAGCAAAATAGTTGCTATTTTTCATTGACTTCGTAAACGCTGGCTATTTTTGAATGACCAGTCCGAAAACTAGCTATACTGTGCTATTTAATATTAATGGCTATAAAACTTATTGGAACATTCAAAAGTTCTAAGTCCAACCTTGAAATAATATCTCAAAAGATAAAATTATGAAATCTTTTAAGAAATATTTATAAATTACATCACAATAATTATATTTATATATTAAATATATCTAAAACTTCTATATATGTAATGTCAGATTGGTTTGGTTTCGGTTTGACTTTCTTTAGTTAAAACCAAACCAAACCAATTATGGTCGGGGTTTTTTTCGAACACCAAACCAAATCAAACCAAATCATAGTCGGATTTTTTTTCTCGGTTTGACTTGGATTATCGGGTTGGTGCGGTTTGTCGGTTTCGTTTGTACACCCTTAAAATCCTTGTATCTGCGCGACTCTTATACTAATTAGCACAAATTTCTAAATTCACTAAAAATTGATTTTGGCTTGCTTTGTTTACTAACTAAACAGAGTCTTTCAAAAAAAGAAAACTCACCAAGCTACGTACAAAATGTAATAGGCGAAATAACTTCGGTGGAGTTGTGGGAAAAAAAAAAGCTCAGGAGAAGAACAGTTAACACTGGGATGTTCATGATTCGGTTTGGGTCGGTTTTTTCCTAAAAAGAAATCAAATCAAGTAAGTCGATTTTTCAAATATTAGAATCAAAGCAAATCAATTAAGTCGGTTTTTTATCGATTTGGTTTTTGTCGGTTTTTCGTTTTTCCCTTAAATATGAGACATACATTACCAAACGCTTATTCTGGCGACTACATTTTCAACGTAACACTATCAAATCAATTGCTCTTTGAGAAATCTATCATTTACCAAGATATATTGACGATAGTTGAATCAATTAGTGATGAATAATTTAAGTACTCAATTAAAAATCGATTATTTTTAACATGAAATAAATTCTTGTACTTAGCAAAAGAAAACTGTCAATCAAACTAGAATGTAAAGGCAAAGAATTAGATGATTATAATAGCAAAGAACTAGACTAAAAATACAAATGACTAATATGTACCATNGTGTAATAATAAATTTAAATAGTTGCTTTTATAGTCGATTTTTAAAATTCAAAACCAAAACCAAACCAAACCTGAAAAGTATCGATTTTTTTTGGTCTGTTTGGTTCGATTTTTCATGTTTTTATGAACACTCCTAGTTAACGCACAAGTCACCAAGAGCCCGTTTGGACATACAATTTTTGTTTCCTTTTTTTCAAAAAAAATTCACTTTTTTTTCGAAATGAGTGTTTGTTCATAAAATTTCAATATTTCACTAAAAGATGCATTTTGGAAATTTTTAAAAATTTGAAAAACTTCAAAAACCCGTTTTTCAAAATTTTCACCATTTTTTGAAATTTTACAATTCTTATGTCCAAATGCCTACTAAGTCAGTGCAGAAAAAAGGAAAAAACAAAAGCTCCATATGGAGATGCGGGGTATCGATCCCCGTACCTCTCGCATGCTAAGCGAGCGCTCTACCATCTGAGCTACATCCCCACGATGTTGTCCTTCATATCCCCAACAATTTTATTATATATATTTCTTTCTTCGCCCACTTTACCCGAACCCAAGGTGTGCTCAGGTGGATTGATCTTTCAAGAACTTACCTTCGATTCTAATGAACTAATGATGCATTAAAGCATTTGATGTATTTTTAAGTACTCATAACTGAGCAAATTTTAGTGTTCCAAGTTGCTTTCCATGTGTATGTTGACTGTCTCCGTGATTCTCATCGGCAAAGTTCTCCTGGCATGAGGACGGGGTTCTATATGCAGTATCTATTCAAGCTTCAAAGTAGTGTGCCAGTAAACCAAGCAATAGACAAGGATTGGAAAGATGGTGATTTCTGCTACTGTTATTTTTCATAAGGCTAATCCCAAAAATTTCTGTGAATTGCTGTCAATTCTATGCTAATAGCCTCTCGTTCTAGTTCCCAATTCTCTGACTGCCAAGTTTTTTGAAGTTCTCTGTCTTGTTCTTAGCACTAGTAGCTTAATCCAATGCATGGTATTGGTGCAACCTATATTCCTTTGACTTTTACATTGTCATATCTCTATTAGATGTAAACACATCGTAGCGCTAACTAATTCAGAGGTTTTTATACGACAATAGCTACCCTGTTATAATGAAAAGTATATGTGCTAATTGCTAAATATCAAGGAGCAAATAAAAAATATAGTTTAATAGCATTCAATTAGTGATAGAACGAATTTGGTATTTGAAAAGCAATCAAAACATCTGAGGCTGTGACTGCTCCAACTTTTAGAAACTAATGCTACTGACAATTATCTCTGCTAAGATCCCTCCCTCTTACCCTCTTCTTATTTTTGGCATTTGAAGAACACTGAACACCTATAGCTGGGCTTCTGACGGTGTGTTGTCATTTTTGTCTCTCTGGTCATCAGGCTCTGTTGATCTGTACTTGTAGCGAGTAGCCCAGAGGAGATAATGTAAGAAATTTAGTCCACTTAATATGCACATCAACCAATAAAACCTTTCAAGGTGATAATGATTCAAATTACTCCCGTAGAGCCATGGCGTTCGCTGAAACCTACCAGTTATATGGTTTACTATTGATACGATCACTGAACTGAGGTAATAACCCATGGCTAGTGATGCCCAAGAGACTGCTGTTGCCAATGACCTCATGCTTAAGGGGGCCTCCGTGAAGAAGAACTCCATCAAGCCAGCCAAGCTGAAGAGATCAGCTGATCCCAGGAACAGATATTGCAGTGCTACCCAAAGAAATGTGATAGGAAGTGGTTCGGTTGAATTCATTAAGCCAGATTGCGCTGCCACTCTCTTCCGCTTCATCTCCACTAGAGCTGCAACAGCCATGGCTACAATTGATAGGAATAGCCCGGTTCCGATTCTCTGTAGATGAGTAATGCCCATTTCACTCTTAGTTGCTGCCCTGGCGAAGGGGATTATAATATGATTATATACTGGTGCCAGTATCATGGTGAATATGACTGGAAATATTGGAAGAGAAGCTGGTGGAACTTTTAGAGCACCAATATATGTGTTCATGGTGGCTGCTTGTTGTATAGAAAATGTTGAAAGCTGAGCCAAGCAACAGTTCAGCATAACAGTTGACATAAATATTGGCAAGATCTTGACGACTATTTTCACCTCTTCTGCTTGTTTGACTGTGCAGTGAAGTGATGGGTAGGCTGCCTTGTTCATTGTTGATTTATCGATGAACTTCTGGTCATTCATTTCAGTCTGAATTTCTTCCTTCCATTCCCCATGTCCTTCTTCTTCCTGACTTATCTCAGTTGTGTTTTGGGGGGATTTCCTTGTGTCTAACACATTACTGATAGAATTCTTAGGAAAAAGAGAGTTGCAAAATGCTGCTACTAGAACCTGTTGAAACAATTCAATGAAGATTACTCTATTTTAGTATGGTGGTACAGGATGCAAGCACTAGAAGTCTAGAACATACCTTTAAAATGGTTGTAAATGGGCTTCCTTTGGGAATTTTGATCCTGTAAGTCCCAGATCCTAGGAGGAAAATGGCAATTGAGCTCAATATTGCTACGGTTGAGATACCAAAGCCCCACTGCCAGCCTTTATTATCTTCTACCCATACTACTAATGTCACTGCAATCAATGCTCCACAAGAGAGGCAGAAGATGTAATAATTGAAGAAGGTAGATCTGTGCTTCCTTCCTTGTGGCGAATTCTCATCGAATTGCTCCGCTCCATGTGCAGGAAGTGAGCCTTTTATCCCTCCAACACCCAAGGCCGCCAGGTAGAGGCCACCAAATAACATTGCTGCTTGGCCATGACCAGCTTCGTTACATGAGGTGTTTCTGTTTATGGATGCACAGATAGGCGGCCTCAGGGAAGGTATGCGAGCTTGAAATGTGAGCATCAATAGTCCCTGTTCCAATAGTTTTGATTATTAACAATCCATGTGACATGCCGTCCTGCTATATGTCTCATGTTATCATCTTCTGAGTGGTTATCTTTCATGTCTCCGAAAGGAGAAAGGCTATGTGTCGTGTTTTCTTTACCATGCTAACTAAGAAAGAAGCAGAATGTTTGTCATCATGTTAGGAAGCATAGGTACTTCCTTTTGAGAACCATACAGTTGTCCCTGCAAAACTATTATGTCCATACACAAAGCCCATCTTTTTCTGGGTCAGAGAAAAGCCATGGACAGTTCTTTATAAAAGTCTTGATCACTTGAGAATTTTACCTGGTGAAGTCGGATGAAACGGACTTTGGTCAGGTGCTCAATACCTATCTTAAGTTGTGATTTTTGTTAATGTATTTCTGTATATTGAGCTTTCATTATTTCTCCATGAAAGCTAAAGCAACATTTTATTATCAGTATGTCTTTTTCATTTAAAATAACCTGAAAATGAGCTGCTTCAATTTCTGTACCATCGGTCATCAATGGGGTGATTGTGCCGGGTCCCAATTTTCTCATTCCTGATATCTAACTGGATAGAGCGAATTCAAGACATGTGAAGTTTGATGTACAAACATTTGTTCTTCTATAAATAATTTTTGTTTCTACTATGTTACTGACCCACAGGTTATTAAATGGCATGAATAGGATTATACATGATGTGGGGTAAGTAAAGTAATGAAGTGTGTCTTATGCTTGCTACTATTGTTAGTGTGTGTTTGCTAGTATTCTTAGTGTATTCATGACAATAGTTTGAGTGTGGCATTACTGATTCTTCCACAGAAGACCTCATATATCCTTATAATTCTTATGGACTAATTGGTAATTGCATTGAATTCTGCTATCTCAGATGCAGACCTAAAAGAGCCGCCTGTTTTTCTCATATTGCTGCAATGGTAAGACGATGCGCGCCTGCTAATGATATCCTATTCCTTTTGTCCAGTTTCCTGTGATTGTTATTAAGATCCAGATTGGCAGGTCTAGGAAGGTGTACTCTATCTACTTATGCTTTTGGATAGTAGCAGACTATACAATGCTAGGAAAACATTGATCTCAAAGAGATTCAACTAATGTTATCTGGTTAGTGCATGTTATTGAACAAAAGATAATCTCAAAGACACAGATTACTTACCATAAATTCAATTGCCGCACTAATCAGATAGATGTAATAGGTGGTGAGGCAAGCATCAGATAAGAACCCGCCAAGTAGAGCGAGAAGGAAGGAAGTTCCCATAAAGTTGGTAACTATGTTGGCTGAAGCAGATGGAGAAAAATTCATAGTTTTCGATAGATAAAGGACTAGATTACTCGCATTTGCCAGGTAGGCTAAGTTCTCCAAAATCTCCACCACTACGTCCACAATTGAAAATATTCAGATTGTCAGTTGTTACAATCTATATTTTACTATTGATAAATAAATTTAGCCAGCTTATAAGTACTAATTCATGAAGTTCATTGCTGTAGCATTAGAAGCTAACATAGTGTATGGGGTTCAAATTGTAATGAAAGCAACATGTGCATGAGGAGAGGTGGTTTACTGACCCAACACAAAAGAGGCGGCAACCACACCTCCATGACATCCTTTCATGGCTGGCCTGTTTCTCCAGTCCACGTAACCTTCCCACATGGTCAATGTCTTCGCATGATCCTGCAGCATAGTGCACATAAATTAAGTAAAGATTCGCTGGAGGGAATATAAAAAAGAAGAGATGAGAGCGGGAATGTGCACCATCTCTCTCTCTCTTTCTCTCTCTCTCTCTCTCTCTGTGATGTTTCTGGGATCTTGATGTAGAAGTCCCTAGTGGTAAGTCGTCCAGTACAACAAGGAAGTTATGGCAGTGTCACCTTTAAATACTAGAAGGATGGGGATGTCAAATTGTGTAGAAAAATCTGGAATCTTNGGGGAGGAGAAAAAAACAAAGAAGTGGTGAGTGCTCGCTCATAACTATTTTCAGAATGGTATGCGAGTATTAGTAACATAGTTTACGTGGAATAATTTCATCTTTATATTGGCTTGAGCTGCTTGGTTCATTTTAGTTTTTTAACTGTAGACGTTTGGTTTTCTAGTATTTGTGTGTCTCGTCATATTTCTTCCTTCTATCAAAAAGTGCTATATGTTCTGTGTAGCATGTGATGTAATGCTTTTGTAAGGGTGAAAGGAGTCCAATAAATTGAAATCATCTGATGAAATAGATCTCATGTTCAAGCATGTTGGGAAGGTAAATAAAACTCATGATGGGATGTTGTACTCCTTTAGTTTATCTTCAGCTTCATCTCACTCCTATCCCACTCCGCCTTCTCTTTTCTGAATCAAAACTCAGTGTTACATCTTCCCCTCCCTCTGCTTTGATCTTCTTCCAGATATAGTCCATGCCCTGGTAGATGTTAACTTACCTTGAGTCACAGGGCTCTGTTTGAAAAATAAGCTTCAAATACCATTCCTTAACCTTTTTCTTTTTGTGTCTTTGTGAGCACAACACTGAGGTTGGAATCCTGAGGGACATGAAACGGGGAGAAGAGAGGAGGGTTCAGGTGGAAGATGATGAACTGAACAACTATGTTAAACTTCACCCTCCTGCTTGTATGATGAATTACTATAGTTTGAACATTTGTATAATGGAATGGTCATCTCATTTTGTTTAATAATATTCTCTATTCGATTTTCTTTGTATCTCGTGATATAATTTATTAGAATTGCTCTATCTCTGTCTTGATGCTCTTTGGTAAAATGAAGTTATTCATTATAGTTGTTGTCTATAAAGAGCGGTCAGTTTCTACTTCACGTGGGGCTTGTCCTTGGCTGTGTCTGTAGAGGGTTCTCAACTTTGCCATTGCTTCTTCTTGGTACTTGAGTTATGGCATTAATTTCAGCTTATCATCTGAGTGGAACTCATGTCTGCAAGTATCCATGTGGACCCTCTGGTTATAGGAATTATACTCCTAAGGGTCTCAAAATTGAGTGGCTAGAAGTCCTTAAGGTCATAGCTATTTAGCATGTGCTTCCTTCTAATGTCCTGTCGCACTCTGTTGTCTAAGCAAGCAATTTCAGATAGAACGACATGAAGTAAGAAAACCTAACAGTAGTAGCTTGACCACAAAAAATAATATATTTTACTTTTACTCATGCGAGTGGTATCAAGTTGTAGCGGCCTAGCGGGTAGCCTTTTCCAATTATGTAATGGCACAGAAATTTGTAAATTTTTTATCCCCTTAATATATATTCTTTAGATCAATCATGTCATTGTCATAATTTTTCTTTTCAAAAAATTGAAATTGTTTGCACCAATGACATCCTATAGTCCTCACACCAAATTAGCCTTCTTCCAAATCGTGTACCCTGTGATTTCAGATTTTGTTTTTAAATAAAGAGATGGTATTCCATAAGCTTTATTTTCTTTTCTGTTTTTAAATAGGCCAAGATAAGAAAAATTATTTGAACTTGGCTAATCCAATAGTTTCTAAATATTTCCAGGATATTTTAATATGCTTGGACATTAGAAAAATTTCCACCATCATATCGCATATATGTTGTTGCAAGAAATGATGAAATACCACGATACATCCCTGACTCCCTTTCCGGGTGTTGGTTTTTATTTTTAAGATCAGCATTGCATGTGCTTTTCCAAATTTTATGTTGTGTGCTTTGATCACTGGGTTCTTTTCTAAATCATTCTAGGCACAGATCATTGGTATTGGATGTATCGTTAGGTTGTGCCGAGTCAAATCTGCTCCGTTTTTTTTCCGTTGCAGAAAATGCGCTGACTGGATGCGTACTCGCGTGATCAATCGATGGACGGGGGAATTGCGTGAATGATGAGACCGGCCTAACCTAAGCTGTAAGAACTTTTTAACTTCAGTACTTCTGAATGTTTTTGCATTACCATGACATAAATTTGATAGTAAACAGGTAATGATTTTATGGAAGTGGTGTTATTTTTTGGCCATCAAACTGAAATGTTACAATTATAGGTGCTGGTTTCATGACGTGCATTGCAAAGTAAGAAGGGATTATTGGTTCCTATATATGGAATGTTGAGACATCTAGAAGAGTTGGAATCTTTGACATTACTGTTAAGTTCGCAATTATGTTTTCCTCTCTTGTTTTTTTTTAATTCTTCCTTTGTTAGTTTTTTTTTTCTTTTCTGCATTCTTGTTATAATCTCCTATAAATATGTGGGCAAGTTCATCATTATCTGAAGTCAAATATCTTGCAAAACTTTATGATGATGCTCATCCACCATTGCATCCGTTCGGTGGACTTCGGATGTTCTACATCCTTCTTATGCTCAACTGAAGGAGCTGGAAAACCATCATTTAAGACATCTCTGGTTATGCCTAGTCGACAATGCATCTTGTAAGTGTTTGGACTCTGGATTCTTATCCATAGTCCCAGGTTGTGGCAAGCTGATCATGCGGCAACTAACTTTTAGGCCCATAAAATAGTTAAAATAGTAAATATGTTCGATGGTTGCTAATGATATTCCTATTGGGACCTTACCAAGCATTTTGTGCTCAATTTTTAAAGCTCCTGTTGTGACAGGGAGGCCTTAGTCAAGAAATTGGTGAATTGGGTCAAAGATGTCCTCCTCATTCCTTTCTGTGGCTCAGACTTTTTAGTGTTCCCGCTGTATTATCTGTACTAACTGGGCAGAAATGCATCTGTTTTTTCCCCTTCAGATTATTGCATTGCTTGAATACTTTTTGAATCCTTAAATTGTTTGCTTCATTATCTTGGGAAATTCAAGATGAAGAGCCAGTAGCCACATAGTTTTTAACATTACTCTTCTGTGCCTATCATTTTTGTCTTAGAGTCCCTGTATCTGTCCTCTGGAGAGAGCCGGTGGATGGGAGTGGGATGTGAAGTGGATATAAGTATTACTATTTCTGGACAGAGATAGCAAGTTTTTGTTAGGAAAAGGACCTGGACAGGAAAAGGCTTACCTGATTGGTTGCTTGGTCTCAGGAGTCAGGGTTCACATGTGCCCTTTTCCTTCTGAATGAGGGAACTCCAGTGGACAGTGCCACAGTGGTGCTATCCTGAAACCTAAGTCGACCACTTGAATGTCCTATCTGGAAGATGCCAGATATATTTACTACACGAAACCAAAAAAAATTAAACTATCTTTTAGCTTTCACCACGATTTAAAATATTGGACCGTGGTGTAAATGTCAGCAAATGATTCATATATTAAGAAAAAAAAAAATAGTTCAGCAAAATTAGTTCTGAAACACTCTGAAGGTTTTGAGGAAATACATCTGTTGCAATTGATATGCCTAGCATATGCAAGTTTGACATCGTTAGCTAAGTTGTGATAATTCTTTTTTCCTTACTGGCTGGAGAGACGTAGTAACCTGCAACTCTTTGCTGAGTTAACATACAAATGAGTTAAACTTGAGACAAGCTACCTGTCAATCTGTTTATTCTTGCCCTTGTTGTATGACTCTATTTGCTGAGTTATCTATAAGCTCCACTGTCCTTGTACTCTCTTTTTGGTTTAACTTGAGTAGTTAAAAGGAAGCTCATTCCCAGAAAAGAAACAGGGGCATAGCCTTTGTACAGTTGAAGTCATAAGCTTTTGTAATCTAATTCTATCATGTAAAGAATGAAAAATTCACGTATTGAAGAGCCAGTCTGAAAAGTGAGTGTGACGTTTGTAAGATGGAGGATGAAAGAGATTATCATAGGGAAAACTGGAATTCTTGAGATTTTTTTGTGTTTAGAAGTCTTTTCTTTCATCCCCTCTAGCTGACATTCTCTAAGAATATTCTTGCCCTTTCTTGAAAAGTGTTTTGGTATAATTAGGAAACAGTCAAACCATTCTGCAGACGGGAAAGAGCTTAGATGTTAGTATAATGACATAGAAAGTGTAAATTCTCAAATTAGTTCACATGACTATGTTATACTTTCTTTGAAATGTTGGTAGGAAAGTGTTCATATCAGGCACTTGGGCGCTTAAATTTGTTAGATGAGTGCAGTGTTTATCCGAAGTTGAAAAGACACTCGTTCAGGAATCTGGTTGGTAGATATATCTTACTAAAAATATGTCCCTGGTACACTCATTTATAGTTTAAAGGACCTTTTTTACCTTCATGAGACGCAAAGTGCTAATTTATCTGACCGACAGTGGTACCACCAAATTTTGGGGGGTCTCAACCACCACGGACTAACTGATTTTTGGATTTTCTTTTAGCATTATAGAGTAGTATTAACTAACTTGAGTTTTCTTCATCTTCCTCTGGTTTGGTATATGGATCGATCCTAAAAGTTCTTGGGAAAATTTGGATTAGTCCTCTGATCAAACAATCCGTCCAAAACTTATGAAGCATATGCCTCTAGGGGAACTCACTGCTTTCACCTTTACATTGTTCGTTTTTTTTTTTTTTTACATTTAAACAATTTCATTTAGGTGGTCTGGAAATTATTGATGAGCTTATCAACATCTTAAAGGGCCATTAATTGAGGTTTGTTCAATAGCTTTTAGAAATGTAAATAGTTTATTGAAGGGCATGTTCCTACGAATTAAAGATCTGAAATTGATCCAATTTCTTATTCCAAAGAAAGAAGAGTAGAAATGACACCAGATAGCCACTTTATCGGATTGCTATTTAGGAATTAGCTAGTGCATTCTGAAATTCTATTTTTCAGTTCAATTTTTAAGGACAAAAATGTTCTGAATTGTCATAAAGTTAAGATTTTTAGTTTAAAAATTCGGAACAAAATGAGTAGTGGCTAGTCTCTAGATAGCATCCTTGAGAATGGCTATATGTGCACTTTCCCCGAGAGATGAAAGTCATCTTAACAAGCCTGGTCTCTGGTTTCTCTATTTGGTTCTCGTTAAAATAGCACGGTCTAGCCAGTTTTCGGATTGGTCATTCAAAAATAGCCAGCGTTTACTAAGTCAATGAAAAATAGCCATTATTTTGCTGCAACAGAGATCAGTCCATTATAATATACTGGAGTTCGGTGCACCTGTGTATGAACTTCCAGCATATTATGCTGGACCGGTATACTTTGCTGGCTCCAGTATAATATACTGGAGTTCGGTGCACCTGTGTATGAACTTCCAGCATATTATGCTGGACCGGTATACTTTGCTGGCTCCAGTATAATATACTGGAGACCGGAGCACCGGTGCTCCAAACTCCAGTATACTATGCTGGACTGGTATATTATATTGGAACTCCAGTATATTATGCTGGAGTATTTTTCCGAATTTTGAACAGTGATTTCGTTCAGATTTATCTTTACATGAAAAGTGGCTAAATTTCGATTACTTTTGAAATGTGGCTATTTTTGAATGATCACTTGCAAATCTGGTTATTTTTGAATTTCTCCCTTGATTCTCTTGAACAAATTTTTGAATTGGGCTTGAAAGTGTCCATTTTATCAAAAAACAAAAGGAACACTTGTTGGTGACATATTGTTGGAATTTTCAAGAGAAAATAGCAGGAATAAACAAAAGGGAAAACAGTTATTTGACTTAAAGTCCTGATACAACATGTTACTTTGCGAAACGTTGCGTCGCTTCGAGTATCACTTAGGCTGATTCGTTGCACCTTTTTGGTTAGTGTTTTCTGGTGCTTTTCCAGTAGTTTTGAGAAATAGACATCCTCTATAAATAGGGAAACACTTCTTGGCATAATATATCCTGCGATATATCTCAAGTACCAACATTCTTCCTTAAGAAAAATTACATAAGTTTGGTAACTGCAGTACTGATACTTGTGTGTTTGGAGATCTGATTTATTATTTCTTCTTGGCTTTACTTCATTCTATCCCGAGAGAGTATTTGTAAGGGACAAATAATTCTCTTTGGAAAGTGATCCTAACAAGGTATACGGCTTGAAGTATATCCAGATTTTTCACCACAAACACACTGATTTCTTAACAATCAAAGAGAATTAACATCATGTCTTCCCTGAAAGATCTCACCACCAACTTTTCCAAACTTGACAAGTTTAGTGGAGTTGATTTCCGCCGTTGGCAAAAGAAAATGCACTTCCTCCTGACAACACTAAAGGTTGTGTATGTGATTTCCATCGCTCGTCCACCGGAGGCCAATGAAGGCGAAGAGGAACCATTGGAAAGCACAAGGGCAAGGATGAAATGGGATAATGATGACTACATTTGCTGAGGCTATATATTGAATGGAATGTCGGATGCTTTATTTGATATTTATCAACATATGGAGACCGCTAAGGAACTGTGGGATGCTCTAGAGAACAAGTACATGTCTGAAGATACCTCTAGTAAGAAATTCCTTGTCTCACAATTTAATAATTATAAGATGGTAGAAGGTCGGTTAGTCATGGGTCAATTTCATGAATTTCAGCGTATTGTAAGCCATTTCGTCCAACACAAAATTTTGATGGATAAAACCTTTATAGTGTCTTCTATTATTGATAAACTACCCTCGTCATGGAAAGACTCTAAACGGGGTCTTAAACACAAAAAGGAGGACATGTCCCTGGAAGAACTTGTCAATTATCTTCGTGTAGAACAAGAGTTCCGCATGCAGGATGAATCCAAGGAGCCTATCACTCAAGATGACAAGATTAATATTGCTTAACATGGGGAGTCCTACAAACCACACAAAGGACAATATAACGATAAGAAGAGGCCTTATGATGATGGAAAAAAGAAGAAGGGGTTCCAAGGTATGTGCTATGAATGCAACAAACCGGGCCACAAGAAGAAGGATTGCTCTATCTTGAAAAGAAAGAAGAGTCGAGGAAACCAAGGGGCATCAAAGGACAACTTTGTAGCCATGATCTCTGAAATCAATGTTATTGAAAATGACAATTCTTGGTGGATAGACACAGGTGCTACCAAGTATGTGTGCAGTGATCGTTCTTTCTTCAAGTCACTCACATCGGTTGATGATGGGACCGTCCTTTACATGGGGAACTCTTCAACTGTGGAAGTCAAGGGCATGGGACAAGTGAAATTGAAGTTCACATCTGTAAAGATGTTAATTTTAAATGACGTATTTTATGTTCCCAGTGTTAGAAAAGTTCTTGTTTTTGGTAGCCTCTTGAACAAGCATGGTTTCAAACAAGTATTTGAAGCCAATAAGTTTATATTGTCTAAGGGTGGTGTATTTGTTGGGCAGGGGTATTATGCCAATAGCATGTTTAAGTTAAATGTAATTATCAATAATGACAATGCAATGAATGATGAAGTTTCTATTTACATCATTGACTCTAATTTTTCGTTGTGGCATTCCCATTTGGGGCATGTTAATTTTCATAGAATGAAGGATATGTCTAAATGTGGTTTGATACCAGTGATGATTGTGGATAGTGAAAAATGTAAAACTTGCATATTAACAAATATCACAAAGAAATCTTTTCCAAGTATCCAGAGAAGTACTAAGTTGCTTGAATTAATTCATAGTGACTTAGTGATTTTCATAGTACTCCTACAATTGGAGGAAAGAAATATGTTATTATATTCATTGATGACTACTCTAGATTTTGCAAAGTTTATCTTGTAAATTCTAAAGATGAAGCATTCGAAAAATTCAAAATTTATAAGACTGAGGTGGAATTGCAATGTGAATCTTGCGTTAAGTGTCTAAGGACTGATAGGGGTGGAGAATATTATAATCCCACATTTTTCCAAAGCACTGGTATTGTGCATCAAGTAACGGCACCATATACACCACAACAAAATGGTGTCGCCAAGCGGAAAAATCGAGTCTTAACGGAAATGGTTAATTCTTTGTTGTCTAACTCCGGATTAAGTCACGGCTATTGGGGTGAAGCTATGTTAAC